AGCAAAGTAGTACTTCATGTCATCASTTCTGTGGCATCTTTTCATCCCGTCACAAGAATGTAACATCTGATAGTGAAAAAAAATCAGCGCTCATTGTCAGACTTGCAAACTCCTTTTTTTTTAATATCCTTTTACCTTTACGTCTCTTGCCTCTGAATCCTGGCAAGTTCTCTGAGAGTCTTTGGACCAAGGTTAAGGCTAGATCTGCACATTTCTTTCTTGAACCTCTGAAGCAAGAGAGTTTTCTGTTACTGGTTCTGGAAGAAAAAATATTCTTCTCTGCTAAGAAAGAATATTCTTTTTCTCTGATGTTGCATTGCCTTCTTATTCCAAGAGTAAATCTTGCATCTTAATCCAAGCTAGCTATTACTTGAGATTTTGAGAAATACTAACTGTAAAGAAAAAAAGAGCAAAGCCCGAATGGTTGTCATCAGCTGCAGGAACAAAGCGGATGCTGCCTGCACCCAGTCGTAAAATGAGCTTTGGAAAAGGAGAAGTTCCAGGTTTTTGCTGGTTTTCCACCGCCTCCTGGCAAGGAGCAAAATCATCAGCAAAGGGCCTTGCTTGGAGATACTAGCTGGAAAAAAAGGCAAGCAAGGCTTTGGTGAGCTGCATACGGAGGGAGTGTGGCCACCGGTGCTGGGAAGATGATCATCGTTCGAGCGCACAGGAGAGTGAGTAGTTMTTTAATAAAACACAATAAAGAAATTAGTATTTCTAAATCTGATTTGCACACAAAACAGGATCGACTTTGTGTATTTGAAGAAATTTTTTTGCAACGTGGAGATTTGAGCAAGCTGGTGATTGATGTTTGTTGCACAGCGGTGCAGGTGGAGGGAGATGCAGTGTTTTACTGACAGCCAAAGCTGACCCCGACCACTTGGATTGGGTAGGATAACTTACAGACTGAGTACAGTCATCCATACAGCAAATGATATTGGAAATTAAAGGTCAGAGAATTGATGGTAAGGCTTAAGAAAACAACAATTAGGCTGCTAGGAAGAAAAGCTAAATTACCGGTAGTAGGAGTAGGAAAAAAAATAGAGAATTATTGATCTAAATATCAAGTTGGCAGATACACAAAGTACAATCTAGAGGTTTTTTACACCTCTGGGCTTATTCAGCTTCCACAATAAAAAATGCAGGCCTATAAAGATGGAATAAGAAGCAATCAATTAGGATGGCATTTGGTTGTTCTGCGCTGCAGCTGCGCAGGCACATCACAATTAATGATTTATTAGGAGATTTTTGCCTTTTTTTTCCCCCATTTACACAGATTGCTGCAACCAGACTGCAGTTGTTTATTAATTTGCTCTCTAGTCAAGCATCTTTGTTAAATATTGGGTGGAAAAGGTAAACATTTGGCTCGCATGCCAGCACTTCATTGCGAGTATGCCCTTAAGCGTGGAAAAGCTGTGATTTGCTGCGAATTCGGGGTGAGTGGCTGCTCACACTGTTGACAAGGGCAAATGCAGCGCGACGTGCAGCACTGGGTGCCCTGCGTGCACTTGTTTGCCCTCCAGTTTCTCCCTACCTAGAGAGAACACACGGTGCTTTGCAGCAGCCCTAGTTGCTCTGGGTGCAGTAAGTGAATGGAGATGCCCTAGGAAATCCGTACTGGTCAGAGCGCTCTATTTTTCTAGGTAATCCAGCCTCCATAAACTGCTTCTGCCGGTAACAAATTCTGCATCATCATTGTTAGGAAGTCTTAGAGATAATGCCAAGACCCTTCTTGCAGACAGGCATGCGGAAAAGGCTTTCCTTTCACAGCTGGTTATGAAAAATGGCTAAAAAAAAGCATGAAAGCAGGGAAAAAAAAAAGGAACTCCCTTTAGAAATAAGCCTGAGTAATTATCTTTGTGTTCATCTATCTCAATTCAGCACCTCCTTAGGAGTGGCTGCACGAGCTAATTGGTTTTACTCTGCAGCTGCCTGGGCCGAGCTCTGGATTTATGGCACTCCGGAAAGTCACCGTATGGATTCATCATTTGTCCCCTGCATCAATCCCTTTTGCTTTCTGAGTGATATTTGTGCACATGTTTATATGCTCTCAGGGACCGAGTGAGACTCTGAATTAAATGATTTTAGTGTAATGCAATGCAGCTTGAAAATCCAAATGAATTATTATTACCTTTTCAGCAAGATGTAACTTCACACAGGCCCGGTCTAGAGGAATGAGAGGAGTGCTCTCTCCCAAATGCCTTTATGGGAAGGGGAAGCATAAGGACATTTGGGAATTTAAAAATCTAGGAAGATGGCAGGTTCAAAACCAGTGCAAGTCTCCAGAAGGAAACAGAGTTTGCAACAATCAACCCGTAAACTATTTGTGAATGGTCTTAAAAAAGCACTCTGGAAATTGCAGACTTCAAATGCAACAATTGAAAGTGAAATTAAATAAATTACAGAGGAATACAAGTAAATGCTACAAGTGTGGGTCAAGCGCTGCCTTATCAATCTTCTGTTTATTCCAGCAGCTCCTCCGCTACCATTGTTTTACCTTGTTTGAATAGATAATGCTCCTTTTTAYTTGAAAATCAATTGTAATCTTATGAAAGAAAACTTACAGCATGGGGAATGCTGTAAAGCAGCAGGGTAAAAGATGGCAATTGTTCATTATCCCAAATTGCTGCGGAGTAGGGAGGGAAGGACATTAAAGACTGTACTTAGCTTCGAGCTGCCATCCTTCCGTTAGTAGATGGAGTTTAATGTCAGTACTTAATTTTATTTAAGGTAAAAACAACTGTGGACAATACGTGTTACAGCATTTATTTAATATTAATGGTGTTGGAGGAGTGTTAGAAGGAAAGCGGGGCCAGGGTTTGGATTCCTGGTAGCTGCTGATCCGGCGCTGATAAAAAGCTATTCTCTTCTTCATGCTTTATCTCTCAAGATGTGCCCCTTAACAAGCATGTCTTTGTGCAGGTCTTTTGACTTCTGTGCAGCTCTTCCCTTTCCATCAGATAAATATTTGGCTGTACATGCAGAGCAGACAGTCCACCGACTGTACATGCATCCACCGACAGTCCTCGGTGCCGTGCAGGGCCACTCGTTTCCTATTTGTGCCCGGTAGGCAGCACCCCGAGGAGCTCCTGGCCTGCTCGGGCTGTGCACAGCTCTGGAATTTGTCTTCTACTGGAAAAGCTTCCAACAGCTGCTGTGAACCTCCCTCGACCTCATCTTCGCGGCATCGGGTAGGATTTTCCATGTAACCCGAACTCCTCGGCAGCACCTGGGTTATGAGCTACCCAAGGATTTCAGCAGCTTGTAGGACTAGGGTTCTTAAAAGTCTTAAATACAGCTGGTGAGAATTAGCTGAACGAGCTAATTCTGTTGGGTTCTGCAAGAGATCAGTCTCAGATARTAGACAAAACTGTAGTTACACTCGACATTCGAGATGATAGCTGCATAAAACGCTTAACTCCTTTGAAATTACAGTAAATATGATAGTTGTTAGCAATGCAGTCATCTCCTGAAAGAAACTGGGAGCCCATCAGGTTGTTATTGCTGACATGACGTACAAAATTAATCTAATCTAATGGGCGGTAACTCGTGTGGATTTAGCGAGAGACGATCCCGCTTAACTAATCTCCCCGAGTTCTTTGGAGCGGGTTTCAGACAAGATTGATAATAGGAGGGTGCACATGACATAATCTAATGGATTTTTCAAAAGGCCTCTGACAAATTCCCATACGATATTTCCCCTGCTTAAGCTGCATGCGGCCGACATCCCAAATTGAGTGAGAGAATGGGTAAAGAACCAGTGAAATCAGGGGAATTAAAGAGAGAAGAGCTGTAGCATAGACTGCAACTGGAATTATCTAGCAGCTTCCCACTGCGCTTCCACGCTACTCAGCATGGCTGGAAAGAGATGCCATCTGCATGCGCTAATGAAAACTTGTTTAGGACAGGTGCATAACAGAAAGGAGGGCAGAATGCCATTAAAGTTATCACTAAAGGGCAAATTTAAATTTACGTTAGCATAAGGCAGATAAATATTTTTGCTGCCGGCAGTGAAATAATATATACTGGCTGTAGGCACGCAGAGCTGGAAGACTCGAGTGAGTGGATGTTGGTTAGTACTGGAGAGGGACTTTTGAGCTAACAGAGGAATGATTTATTAGCATTTACACAACCTGGCATTTGTGCATCCCAAAAGCCAGGTTTTGCGACGTGCTCTGTGCCTGCAGTTGGGGCCAGGATTTCAGTTGCAGACWCGGAGCCAGCCCCTAGTTTCTCCAGTGTTTAATTTGCCATATGTCAATCAGGGTGTTGATTTGCAAGTGCCGATAATAGGTGATGTTGGGAGATGAGCGCTATTGAAAATTTGGGAATGTGTCTTACTGGCAGCTTTGGAGTCCCTAATGCTGGAAGTATTCAGCAGCCAGGTTCCCTGATCAGTCGTATGATAAATCAAGGGCTCGAAAGCAAAAAAGAATGCAGATAATGCATCAGAATATGCTTAAACTGGACATGCTCCATGAAAATCAATGCTAAATGATAGAATTAAGCACCAGGAAAGGCTATGGCAAAATCACAAGAAACACTTTACATAATGAGGCAAAATCAAATCAAAAGAAAGAAAATGGAATAAAATCACTGAGGAAGCAATAAAATGCCATCACTGAAATCTGAACGAGACAAAATATCCTATGTCAAAGGGACAGAACCATCAGAAAGATGCATGTTTTAGTCTGCCATTTTCACCTGCCCTCGATAAGTAATTCTTAAGAGAGAATGAGAAGCGTTTTTTGGTTTGTTTGCTCTGTGCAAATGTGGCTGGGTGGTAGCTGGGTAGTTCTTGCTTGGGCTGAGGGGTGAAACTAGATGTCAAAAGGGATGAAAAGATATTGCAAGCAAAAACCAGAAGTGAGCAAGGGACATATGTCACCCTTGCAGCCCCAAGGTCCTGTCTGCTGGACAGGTTTCCACATGGCCATGCTGCTCGTGGCGCTGTGGATGTGGCCGTGATCACCACACGTGCTCCTGTCTCTCCTTTGCAGTATTCGGGGGAAGTTCCTGAGAACAGAGTGGAAGTTGTGGTCGCAAATCTGACGGTGATGGACCGGGACCAGCCGCACTCGCCCAACTGGAACGCCATCTACCGCATCATCAGCGGGGACCCCTCTGGCCACTTCACCGTTCGGACGGACCCCGTCACCAATGAAGGCATGGTGACTGTCGTGAAGGTAAGGGGGAAGCCACAGCAGAGCCACRTATGTCACCATTCTTGCTGGCTTGATCCCCAGGGATACTCAGAAGTCTCCAATTATTTTGTGTCTTCCCTACCTGGGAGGGCAAGCTTGAACTCTGAAGGAGTTTGCAGCAGGGATCAAGTTCTCCTTCAAGTCCCAAGCAGCATGACTTTATCTTCATTTGAGAGTTCGTTTCCCATTCAGTTCCCCAAGACCAGCAAGCAGGCAGTGCATGCTGCTGCAGTAATTGCATGCAGTCAGAACATAGCCGAATTCATTCAGCATTCAGAGAATCCCTTCCCGGATAAGATCCCTATGGATGTTCCCACGGACTACCAAGAAAGTGAAGGAATCATGAATAGGCTGCTGCGAGCGGTAGGAGCTTGTGCTGCACGCACTGCGCACGGCACCTGAAAAGAATAATACGTGCTGGGAAGAACAAAGGCTCTATCTTTTGAAAAATCTGACCTTCTCCAACAAAAAAAGTTTTAATCAACTACTTAGGATGAAACACTAACGTTTAAAGAGCAATGTGATTAAAGAAAGCTCTGTGGGGAAAAAGGAAAAAAAAAGAGCCTTTCTCCCTTGTAGCTAATAAGTTGCAGTCRTTTTTAATGCATACAGTTCGGTATTAGGAAAAATGACATTGGTGAAATGCCGTAGAGGTTAGGCTGCTAGCAACGTGTGAGCTCGTCCTGTTCTCTGGCCCTTAGGCTGTCTGTGTGTGCTGCAGATGCCACTTTGTTGAAACTTTAAGGGAAACATCATCTTACCTGCTAGATGCTATTTCAGCAAGATCTTTTTATTTATCACTCTTTATTGCTCTGTAATGACAATTGACAGGCTTACCTGGTGCAACGTTACAAAACCTTGTCAAGCTCAGCTGTAGTTCTAGACACGCACATGTACGGATGCATAGGTAGGGAAGCATGCACAAATCTAAATGTGTGTACTTGATGCTCAAAGAACATTCAGCAGAGTTAAATGAAACAATTGAAGTTTCTTTGCCATCAGCAGCCAATCTGAAATCAAAAAGATACTACTTTTACTAAAAGGGGGAGGGAGGACCCTTTATTCTTAATCTAGTAAAGTGTCATGGCTGTAAATTAAAGCTGCATCAAAGTGCAAAATGGGATTTACATGATAACACAAGGACTTTTGCATAATGAGCCATCCTTATTCAGAACTTGCAGGGAGAAAGGCAGGCAGATTTGTCAAGATCCCACTGATGCTGGTCTTGACTTCCCATTGCCGTGTAACCCAGAGTGATCACAAAGAGGAGAACCACATGAAAATCCTATCTTGTCGTGTTGAGCTCAAAGCCTGAAATTGCACTGAATGCCTTCGCTGTATAACCTCACCTGATCCTCCTGGGTGCCCAGAATTTCTTACCCTTATCAAGCCGGGAGGCTTTCTGGTAGATTTTCAGCAAGGAGAATGAGCAGAATTGCTTGTGATTAAATTTTCATGGTGAAGAAGGGAACACTCTTAGGATTCCACCTTCTTCTTTGAAATATTTTGTTCTCAGTTAATAAGTGATTATGCTTAAAGGTGGGGGAGATGTATGCAAACCAAACTGGGTGGCCATTCAGAGCTCAGTCTTTGCAGTGTGCAAGGAATCACTACCTATTTGATCCCAATAATGATGGAGAACCTATATAACGAATCAAGTTAAGTAATGAACCTGCTATGCACAGCGCCTGCRTGACTGGATTTCATGTGGCCCTTTGAAACTAAGTCATTATGAGACTCCTGCAAGGAATAGGGTTCACAGCTGGGCCTGCAGCAAGCCAGAGACAGGACACAAAGGGACATTTGTGAAGAGTCCCCTTGCTCTRTCAGCAGACAAAAGGACCAGAAATACTTCCAAACCAAACAACCCTTTGGTAGTGAGATGATGCCCATAGCAGCAGTTTAGCAGCTGCTCTCAGCAAACCCACAATTGCCGCTCCAGTCCGACCATCCAAATGTAACGTTTCCTTTTTCTGCTCATGCGTTTTCCAAACCATTTCCATAACAGTGCAGGACCCCAATCTTCAAAGGCGGCCGTGATCAAGGGGAGAGAGTCCTTCCCACTCGGCGGAGCGGAGTCGGACGCTATCTCCGCAAGCAGCAGTGGCTGCCCCTTGGCAGTTGGCTGAGTAAAATGTTATTATAAACTCTGCATGGATCAGAGCCGTGAATTTATTATGGAGGTGCTTCCGAAAGCTTCTGTTAGTATTTGCCTCAACAGTAATGTAAGGCAGATTTGTTCCCTTTTAATTAAAAGTACCTTGAGAAAAGACGGACACCTGACAAGCCCTCTGCTTCCTCCACTGCCTCTGGGTAGGGGAAGCTCGTGATGGAGGAGGACATTGAGCACCTGCAGATCAGGAGAGGTTTCAGAGCCTTTTAGGTCAGCTCAGACACTGAGCAGCCMACCCAGGATGGCTGCAAAGATGCTCCCCATTTGGTTGGAGCAAAACTCACATTGGGGCACCGTGTCTTCGGGATGCCTCAGTAGCAGGTCCAGGCACTGCGCGGCAGACGTGGCCTGATTGCCATGCAAATTATAATAGGCAAAATCAAAAGCTGCATTACAGCAGCCTGTAGATTCCTGACCTAACCTGGAATTAATTAGCAGAGGCAACCCCAGCGGCTGACCCACAGCACCATTAACRTCCCACTGCCCACTTGCCTCGGCTCCAGTTTATGGCTGTAACAGGCATCTCCTGTGGCAGGTTTTTCTGGGCACAACCTGTACAAATGCGTGTGCTTCTTGAACATGAAATAAGAAAGGAGCTGGCACGCCAACACCTCCTCCTCCTAAATGTAACGGCTCCGTGAGCTCCTGCTCCTGCTGTCACCTAATCGATGTGCAGCCTTTCCAGTGACATGACTGGGGACGGGAAGTGTTGGCGCGGGGTGAAGAGCCAGGAACACTGTGTTCTCCCTGCACCTTTACCCTCCRCTTTGGTCTCCTCGGAAGGAGGCAGCTCTAGGGAGCAGAAATGTCAACTCTCCTGCTAGAAATGTGTGAAATAAGCCTGGGTAGGACTGGTCTCCTGTCCCCAGCCCTGCGCTTCGAGTGCAGGCCTGGCTGGCTGTGCACAGCGCTAGCAAATGGGCCAGCATGGAAAAAAAAGTGACAAATGAATGAATATAAATTAGAGGGACAAGAAAGAAATTCAGGAAGTGCATTAGTCAAATTGTCTCAAGGCCTTGAGTAGTATTTAAATGAGAACTTTTACCATGCATCTTTTTTGAATGCATTCTCGTCCATGAGTCAGTGGGTGTACTGGGAGTCTCTGTGCTTCCTTTTATTTATTAAATGTTAGCCCTGCCTGTCAGGAAACCGTTTAGCGCTAGAAACATTTGCACTTCAAACAAATAGAGATTCTACTGTTTTACCTTTTGCCCCTGAAATTTGTTTCTCTCTTGTAGCCTCCTATGATTTGATTTGTCTCCTGATAATACTGTTTTTTAAACAGAACATGGGCCCCCGGTCTTCAGCTGATGCAAATCAGTATCGTGCTGCTGAAGTCCACGTAGCTGTGGCATTTTACACCAGTGAGTGTCYGCCTTGCAGGTTCAGCGCCGGAGAAGGTGTCAGGGAGAGTGGTTATGCTTCTAAAATCATAAATTACAGCAAAGTATTTTTGAACAAGCAGAGGTGTGATCCTGCATAACTCAAGCCTCCCCGCCAGATGATTAGCGACTTCCCTCATAATAATTAGTGGGATGGTTTAGAGATTATTATTACACTGCAGTTCAGTCGGTTGTGCCAACTAAYGCTCTTCACTTCTGCAGCTCCTAAGGCACCCAGGAGAAATCTGTGTGCGCTCAGCAGCAAAACCTACCTGCAGCCATAAGACATGAGGTACCAGGCGAGAGGGCTGGAGGTCCCACCTGAAGGCCCACCTGATTAGCAGAACCAAGCGCTGCTCCTTGCAGCTCAACCCTTGCCTGTAATCTTCCCTAAGAGGAAAAATGAAGGACACTTCAGGCTCAGGAGTCCACGCAGACTGACCCAGTTACTTAGCAGCTCTAAATGCTAATAGCACCGTTAAGTACTTGTGCAGTTCCTCTGAACAGGCTCTGCCTGTTGCATTTGTAGCTGCTCTGGATGGATCTGCTCGTTGAATGCTCAGCTAAAACACAGGCATTTGCTTTTTACTTTTTTTCCACTTAGCACTGGAACAAAATATACATCTAATGCTCCCTAACACTTGCAWTTTTATTTTGTGTTTTTGTTTTCTAGCCTCCCAAACAGCGGAGGACCAAATCCTAGCTAGGTTTCCAGAAGTGTGACTGCACAGTGGCACTATTGATTAAATTGCAACTGGTTCGGATTTATGCCTGCAGGAGAACAGGGTTCAAAAAGAAATGAGATGAGACAATGATATCATCTGCCTTCTAAATCCTCCAACTTTCACCCAGCAGGTGGAATTTATTCTCTGCGTGGATCTATCCTTGCCTGTTTGTTTGTTTTAGGCAGTCGATTATGAGATGAACAGAGCTTTCATGCTGACAGTGATGGTATCAAACCAGGCTCCACTGGCGAGCGGGATCCAGATGTCCTTCCAGTCTACGGCAGGAGTCACCATTTCCGTTATGGATGTCAACGAAGCACCGTATTTCCCAACCAACCACAAGTTAATCAGGCTGGAGGAAGGGGTGCCCACAGGGACGGTCCTGACAACGTTTTCAGCTGTGGATCCTGATCGCTTCATGCAGCAAGCAGTAAGGTGGGAGACCAGGCAGCCAAATGGAGTCCTGTAGGATCAAGAGGGGGATTTCAGCTGCCAAAGTCTGGGGAGTAAAGCAGCTGAAATCCAATTCATAAACTGTCTGATATGATAGCACTAAAATGCTTGGCAGGTATTTGCACCCTTGGCMTTACACTTGCAGGGCACTCTGCAAACGTGGCACGAGCAGCTCCCTCCTTGCAGAGGGCAGGAGCTTCTCTGTTGCAGATTAAACCAGTTGGTAGCAAGGCCTGCTCCCCTCCATAAAGACGAGGATCAGGGCTGGCCTGTGCTGCTGATTTCATCTGTGCCTTGTCAAGGATGCCTCTGCCTATATAGTTTAAGCACTATATAAATACAGCACACAGAGAATTACTGAAAGACCGTTTTGTCATTTCTGTAATACAGAATGGGAATGGAGGCACCTAAAGGGTTAGAGGACATATTTCCAGGGGGAATGACTGGGACTTTTAATCATGCCTGGTGTTGCTTCCAAAGGTTTTAGCCCCAGCTTCAACCTGTCTTAAAAAAAAAAAAAAAAAAGGCACACTGAGAGATTAGCTGTCAGCCTGTTAAGAACAGGGCTCGCTTGTTTACAAGTGGCTGCTAAACAGCTTCTGGGATGCTCTGTAGTTAAAAATTGCCCAAGCAGTCGGACACCCATGGGCAGGGCGTCTCGGCTCGATCCTGGCTTGTGCGAGCCAGGTTTGTGTGACCTTCACCTTGCACCTTCAGAGCCACTGCCAAACTGATGTCCCTGACACCTGCTTTCCTGGTGGATGGGATTCAGCACCCACAGTTTTAGTCTTCTAAAAGTTCAGTGTCCGTTTTAGCAGCCTGAGACCACAGAGGAGTCTGTGCTGGGGCAAGAGGCTCTGTCACTTGCTGGGGTCTATCCCATCCGAAGCTCTGGCCAAGCAGGGGCTGAAGCCACATTTGAGATCAAGCAGTGAATCACAAGCCTCCCCATGCAGAAACACCTTGGCACCTCATTTCCTGCTAATACACAGATATTTCTGTGTCCATAGAGGTTTGTTTTATCCCGAATGTTTCAGGACTGCAGTATTTTTGGCAAACAAGCCAAACGTACTGTTTGTACTGTGTGACCACAGCYGGGGCCACGTAAACTTACATCAGTTGTGACATGTCATGTCAGGAGGAGTTTGAAGTCCTTCACCTGGCACAGAGCTGTCTGCTCTAGAAAATAACTGTTTATTCACTGCCTGGTCTTGTAGTCTTCAGACAGGTACTGCAGCATTTAAGGAGAGAGCCTCTCCTAACTAACAAGCCAGTTTTGCTTAGTTTCTCTGTGAAATACTGCCCTTTGAAGGGGCTTTATTTTCCCTGACACTTGCATTAACGCTGCTTGCAGAGGAAGGAGTAGCTTGTGCTTGATCAGATGCTCCCTCTGATCTGGAGGTGGTTGGACTGCAAGCAGGAATGAATATTAGGGAGAAGGATGGGCTCCACAGGACCATTCCTGCCATCGCACAGTGCCTGCATAGGACAATCTGTAAATATGAGCAGCAAATTACTTGAGTTGCTGTTTTTCCTAGGGCTCCCGGGACACACATTTTTTGAATCCAGCAGCACGTGGTTTCCAAACACAAGTGCAGCGCGCTCTCATCTGCTCTTCATTGGGACAGCCTTTGCAAGAAGCAGTGGGGYGTTGTTAGGCCCCAGAGCAGTCTTTGTGAGCTACACAAAAGAATATTTTGTTTTCTTCTTCCCAGTCGGCGTTGTTGAGATAGGAAAAAAAGATGCACTGAAGGTTAAGCATACAGATCAATGATAAGCAGTTCTCTGAGAACAGGATCCAGCTGCTATATCCTTGCATACGGCTTTCAGAGACTCTCTAAATAGTCTTTGATGAAATACAGTTTTTACAAATGGAAGATAAGGAAGTGGAAGCATCTCTCAGCAAGGCACAGCTTGGCCTGGCCAGTGTCACACCTCAAATATCTTCATTAACTGCAGACATATTCACAAAGCCAGCTTTGAAGCTGGATCCCTGGTCAGTTAGCAGTGAAAGGGTGAAAGATCAGCAGTAATATTAAAAAGGAAAGAAAATGCCCCATATAATCTAGCTCCATGAAGTGTAATTTTTTCCTTTGGTAGGGACTTTTGCAATTTTATTGCTGCTGTCCTGTCCACGTAGATTCACGCAGCTCCAGTTTTGCTTTGAGTTGCGCTTCAAACAGCCTGTTTCTGGAAAGGGATATTCACAAAAAAAMCAGACTTTCTCCTGCATACCAAAAGAAAAAAAGTCATACAAAACTATCACCAGGGTCTGAGATACCCATGAAACAAAAATGAGAAAGATAATCAGAATGTGTTTGGTAGCATGTGGAAGAGGTTTGCCCAAAACTAACTGTACTTCCTCCAGTTTGCTCTGCTGGTTGGAGTAGGGTCCACTGGGCTCTGCCAAAACCTGTGCCGAGGTCCGTGCTTGCTTTTTGAGGATGCTGCCCAGTCTCGAGCCAGGGAGGTGACTTCAGGTATTTAGGGCTTTGACACAACTGTAATGAAACAGTTTGAAAAAGCCTATGAGCAGCTAAGGACTTCCACAACAGCCCTCCCATAAGACAGGGTCAGTGGCCGAGGAGGAGTCAGGGYCAAGAACCACCACAGCCTTCTCCATCCCATGGCCTCCCCAGGTTCTCCATCCCACGGCCTGCCAAATGCTTCCTTTCTTTGCTGTCATGGGCATTGCTGATGCAGGATCTCATGAGATCTCTGTGCTCCAGCGCCTCTCTTCCCGCTTGCAGCCAGTGTCCCTGCTTGGAGCTTGGTGCTGGCCATGCTCGTGTCCCAGCACCGCTAACCACTCACTAACACAGCTCCTACCTGGCCCAACAGCCTCCTCAAACCTCCCCTGTTTATGCCCCTGTCTTTGCTAGTCAGGAACTTATAAAAGTCCTGCAGGAGAGCAGAGCTAAAGCTGCCTCGCTTCTGGCTCGATGCCTTCATACCACTGTGAGCTCCCCTTACGGTTATTACCAAGGCAGTTGCTGCTGAATGCACAATTTTATATAAAAGAGGTGGCTTGGTCAAAGTGATGTTTAACCTGTTTTAAGACTGCCTTTATTTTGCTGTGGAATTTCCTGAAATGTTATTTATTAGGGAAGGATAGTAAAAAGGGAGAGGGCAAATTTGTCCTTCAGTTCAGGCATGGGATTGCAGGGTCATCGCAGCCCCGGCTGCTCCTTCCCTGCAGAGCCCTCGGGCTGTGTCCACTGTCAGGAGCAGGAAGCCGCCGCGTTAGTCTCACTTAATGGGAAGAGAACCCTTTAAAAGGAAGGAAAGGGGAAAATTGAATAATTGTTGAGGTCAAAAACGGGCTACTCAATTAGTATTTTGTTTGTCAACAAAACCAGTTATCCAAAGGTCCTTTGAATCATGCGGTCAGGAGTCCAGAAAAACCCTTATTTCAAACAATATTAAGGATGTGTCAGTGAAAAGACTGCCATGTATTTATTTCCTTTCTCTGTAGATACTCTAAGCTGTCAGATCCTGCAAACTGGCTGAACATTAATGCCACAAATGGTCAGATCACTACTGCTGCTGTCCTTGATCGAGAGTCAGACTACATTAAGAATAATGTCTACGAGGCCACATTCTTGGCGGCTGACAACGGTGAGCCCAGGCTTCACATTGTTCATGCTTCAATAAGACTCTAATGTGATGCATTAAGAGAAATGATGCCCTGACAGAGTTGTCAGTATAAGTTATCTTTTTTTCCAGTTTTTTTATGGTCAAAAATGTGAAAGGGGGACGGGAAATTGCTGGAGTAAATTAAATGTGCACAGTATACGAAGAGTGTTATTAAGGGAAAGGGAGTGCAAATGGAAAATCGATTTGGGGAGTTCAGTGTTGCGGTGTAGGCTGAACTTAAAAAGAAGTAGGAAAGGGAGGTGATCTGTGAGTGCTGGTGTGATCACACCCGTCCTGGTGATCGACCCGAACTGCTGATCAGGGCATGCGGGAAGCCTCCCACCAGGAAAACAGAACTAATCACAGGGGAAGGGAGGAGGATATTAAAAACAAACCAGTCCGTTGAATTGCCACAGCTTTCATAAGAGGCATCTGTCTGTCTGTCATCAGAGCTAATCTCTGTCTGTCCGTTTTCATTTCTGAAACGTCCAGCTGTCATCAGAGCATCTGGATGCTGGTGCACTTCATTACTGAAGTCGCTGAGGCCCGTGCAGATCTGCTCTCTGAGATGCCCCGTTAAGGCTTGCTCTTCTGCAGTCATTAAAGATCACACAGCACTTTTGGTCAAATCAGCCCTGTGAACCTTAGGGCCGACCGTGATTAAGGGCAAGCAATTCATTGATGCCACCCTGGACTTCTCTTCCTAATTCTGATTAGTAAGAGCTGATGACTGTTACAATCGAGGCCTGGATATGTCATTTTACGTGTCGGTTCCTTCAGTTAGAAAATCCTTGGGSATGCTCAGCAGCCTCCATGAGCAAGGGGAACACTTTCCTTCCCCTCTCCCACCCTCACATTCCTCCTGAAGGGTGCTAGGTGCCCACAGAAGCTGTGTACAAACTGGGGCTGTTCTGGAGCATCAGCACGACGTGGCTGTGAGCGCCTCAGTTATTGCTCATACAGCATAGGTGCTTTCAGGACAGTTTGTGCATCAAGCCCTCTGGCTGAAGGGTGCTCTGCATGTGCAAGTAGATACAGTGGTGCCTGCAGYACTAATGAAAACTGCTTTCCTCTTCCTTCAGGCTCTAGCTCTGTCATTGCATCCTGGTTTGCAAGGGCAAGACAGACTCATAGGGGAGCTTTGATGCCAAGTAGCAGTATGTACCAAGGAGCAGATTTCCCCCCTTTCTTCATGCCAGCAGTGGTAGGGTCAAGGTGGTGGTGCCTCCTACTGTCACCCATCATCGGCTTCCCTTGTGGGACCTGGCTGCTCCTTGCAGTGCAGTCCAAGGTGCAAAGTACAACACGAGCGTGGGTTCACCCCTTTCTTTGTCCTTGGTGCTGGTGCTGCAGAGCATCACTGCCTCCACATCCATCTTTCCATGGCTCAGAAAGTGAGGACCTGGGAAAAAACTTTATTTTGAAAAATTAATCTATCTTTGGTATGTCATAGCCATTAGAATGCACACAAAGCAACACCCTATTTAAAAACCCATCTAGAGTGCTGAGGATACCAGCTAAAGTTTCCTCTAAGCTAATAGATTCCTTTTGCATTAATCCCAGTCTCCAGCTTCATCATCACATATGCAAAGCAAGGCTTGGGGCTGGGTTTTGGGGTTGGTTTTGTGTGGATTTTTTGTTTGTTTTTGAAGAAGCAACATTTTGTCGTCTTGTTTCCTTAAATTCTTCTTGCTATTYTCAGGATATGATAAAAGAGCTGTTCTGCTAAACACTCTTTCAGACATTCTSTCTATGGCCTGCACTGCAGAGACGTTCACATAAGAGGAAAACTTGGCTGCAGTGCAGTGGGGAGAGAAAAGGGAATCCTAAAGTGGTTTCTTTAGCCTGTTTTCAGAGGAGAGTGAGCGTCTTGGACCACACTGTGTCTACACGAGTGTGGAGGCTAKTGGGGCCTGAACCCTTCAGCAGGGCTCAGCCAATCCCACAGAGAAGTTTAGATTTCAGGTATATCACATTTCAACAGGTTTCATAGTGTTAGGGTAGAGAAGACATCGGAGAGTCCCCGTGGGGACTAGCGGCTGGGCACGMCGCCGTGGGAGACCTGGCTGCAGCAGTGCGTCTGCTCCTGGTTTCAGTCACCCACTTACTTCTCCCTACTCAAGTGTGGCCTTTAGGGAGATGCCTTTTCATTCTACAGGCACACAGCAAAAAGGCATTACTTGTTAGCCATGAGTTTGCTTGAGCTAGCCCACAAATCTGAAAACTGGCTGGCAAGTGCTACAATAAGTGCTGACCATAGTACACTGTTTTCTTTTTTTTTTTTTTTGCCACCCATGCCTCTTTTCAGCTGATGGTTTTTCCTCTTTAAAAGAGCATTTAGCAAAACTTGGCAATAGCAACTCAGCCCCTTGCATTTCTAGAGCTTGACTAAAGACATTGCTGTAGGCTGCAAGCCTGCAGAATTCAACATCTGCTTTATGCAGGAGAAGAAGACAGAAGAATCATGAGGTTTGGGAAGTTTCAGTAATGTCTGTTAAAGCAGACTATAAAAGTGCAATTTGTCCCCAATAAAGTCTAAAGAGAGAGAAAAAATACTGATTTCTTGAAATTAGAAGGCAGAGAGGCAGGGGACCAGTACCTGGAGTTGTCCTGCCTGCTGTTCCTTGAGTGACGCTCATCAGTCGTGGCTCATGTCTGCCTCTCTCGCCCAGGGATCCCCCCGGCGAGCGGCACCGGCACGCTGCAGATCTACCTAATCGACATCAACGACAACGCTCCAGAGCTCCTGCCAAAGGAGGCACAGATCTGTGAAAAGCCAAACCTGAATGTCATCAACATAACCGCGGCGGACGCTGACATCGATCCAAACGTCGGGCCCTTCGTCTTCGAGCTGCCAAGCGTGCCATCTGCGGTGAGGAAGAACTGGACCATAACACGGCTAAATGGTAAACGGGCAGGCCATCCCGAGGATATTTGGGCTCTGATTCACTAACAGGACCACGTGCAGTTTCAAACTTCCAAACTTTCCTACTTTTTTTTTTTATTCTGATTGGTATTTTTTTAAGCACATTATGGCTGACATTATAGACAAGATAGTTAATCAGAAATGATTTGTATCAGACCTGCAGCATAACTCTAAGAGCCTTGGCACTTGGCTTTTTTTAATGCAGTTCATAATTATGAACAGTTATCAGGACTGAGCAGAGTATAAATCATCCATAATGGCCAAGGGGAAAAAAGCTATTATCAGTCTTCCTTATGTTCCAGTGTAATTGTCATAAGCCACAATCAGGATCAATGTTCATTTCGCTGACCATAATTGCATAAAGGCAGCCTTTTAATTTACCAGGGAACCAGGAGGGCTAGGTAAGTGTGAAGATTACCAGTATGTGAAGGATTTTTATATCACAGCATGCAACCACAATTGGCCCTAATTGGTCCTCTTATTGGTAGTTTCAGCAGAGGATTGGAAGTGTCCCAGGGCTGTTGGCCTTGCTGCAAAGCTGCTCCATCTCACACCCCTCGCCAGGTTCATGCCTTCACCTGCTCAGTCCCTGTACAGTCCCCTCTGCTCCTRTACCTACCAGCTTGGAAGGCAAGGAGTAATGGGCATGGAGCAGCTCCTCACAGGAGATGGGATTCCCATCAGGATGGCTGAACAGGGTGCCTGCAGCATGGCCAGGTGCAATGCAATCCAGAGCAGGGGGTGGGATGCAGCCAGTGCATCCTAAATACCATATGTGATTGCCAACATGTCTCAAATACATTCAGCTGGCTACTCATTTGCTGATAGGATCAAGCTGAGTCAGTGTGGCAGTAAAAAACATGATTTTGGAAAGTGTGCGTTGATTGTTGGCCAAGCTGTAGGAAGTGGGAAGCTGGGGTGTGTTGGCGGTGGCCTCTTCCTTGGGGTTCATCTGCCCAGTGAGACAGAGGAATGGTGCAGATGCAACCATGGGACCCAGGCACGTGTCTGTCACCTGCCTGTCTGTCTCTCTCTCTCCAGGCGATTATGCCCAGCTTAGCTTGCGAATCATGTACCTGGAAGCTGGCGTGTATGACGTCCCCATCATCGTGACGGACTCAGGAAACCCTCCCCTGTATAACACATCCATAATTAAAGTGAAGGTGTGCCCGTGTGACGAGAACGGAGACTGCACCACCATCGGGGCGGTAGCCGCAGCCGGACTGGGCACGGGTGCCATCATAGCCATCTTGATCTGCATCATTATCTTACTCAGTAAGTAGCATGGGAGGTGACACTGCTTGGACATGTCAACCAGAATGGGGCCATTCAAAGCACAAAGGTGCCAGGTGGTCCTTCTCTCAGTTTGCCACCAAAGCTCGCTCGTCGGTGGTGGTTTGGTGGTGCATGGGACTGAYAGCAGGAAAATCAGCCCTAATTCCAGGAGTGCAGCTGCAGTTGCTGCTCTTTTCTTGAACCTGCTCATCAGGAACTTGAAGTGTGTCCTACCTCAGAGACCTGCTTGTTGGTGACACCGTGGTTTGTTTTGGTGGAAAACATAAGACTTAATGCCAAGATATGATCCCACCTTATGCCAAGCTGTCCCTAAAGCCAAGTTCATTTTTCGGGGAGGAAATACTGCAGTATTTTTATCAGTAATGTGGGGATGTGGAGTCCCATCTCCCATAGCGTCCTCCCTCATCCCATTCCTGAGCGCTGTGTTTTTCGAGAGCCAAATTCTCCTGGAGAGACTCCCCTAGACCAAGAGCCCCTCACAGGCAGCTCGGGGTGCCCAGGAGCTCTCTGGGCTGTGGAGAACAGGCGGGGTACGTTAAGGGGCACCTGCAGACAAAGAGCCACCCTGCCAGGCCAGCGGGCACAGAGACCCTCACACACGAGCACGTTGCTGCCCATTGGGTTTTAGGCCATCCCCTTCCACACGAGCATTCGTTAGGGATGCAGGTACCACGATGGAACGAAGCACACGATGTTCTGCTGCATCGTCGCTGTTGCTCTGACGTGGGGTCCACATGTCAGATGCACACAAGGAGAGCAGGGCTTCAGGTAGAAGTTTGGCCCGGGAGTCACAGAGGCCATAAAACCTAAGACTTCTTCTTGCTGCTGTCATATAAACCCAGTGCTAAAATATGATTTAAATAGTTGAAAATCCTATTGACTGAAATTAACTTCGGCTGAAGGACGTTTGATTTAAGAGATTCCTCTTTTCATTTTCAGATACATTATCCCATTTTAAATTATGGTTTTTATTACAAAAGCTTATTTTTACATTTATTGTAATTCTAATTGACTTTTTTTTTTTATCTTTGAGAGCTGCAAAGCACTATATCAGTGATGAAAAATGTAATTTGTGATGAGCAGAGTTTTTTCAGTTAYCTCCTTCTAGTGTTTTGCCTCCTTTAATATCTGTTTTATACGGTGACCTCTGAACACTAGCCTGGAAAAGGCAGATGTGATTTTTTCCTTTATATGTCCATTTTAGAGTCAGCAGGTCAAAGTTTGATGGCTTTAAAAGGAAGAAGAAGCAAAGAGACAGATCTGAGGTGGCTCAGGTGAAGAAAGTTTCTGCCTTTACCTTTACTCCAAGTTTTTTTTTCTTCCTCGAACCTGATGTATTAGCTGCACGAATAGCACATTTAGGAGAAGAGCAATGCAATAAAAAATTGTGAAGGGTGAAGACAATAGATTTCAAGAAAAACTACATGCAGAGTGAAAATGGGTCTAACAGCAGTAATAGCACTTCCCATTCTGCAGAGTGAATAAAGGAAGGAGAATGCACTACGTCCGCTATTGACACTTTGAAGGTCTTCTTTCTTCCAGGTAGCGGTGGTAAAGGCGTTAATGGCACAGTTTTTTCCACAAGCACATGAAAAAAAGTAGCATTTAAAAAAAATGGAAGAGAGAGAGAAAAAATAAACCTTAGTATAATATTGTCTTTGTGGGCTAGGCAGGTATCTTGTTGTGAGGACTTGAAAAGCAAAAGACAAGAAAAGGACTTCAATAGTCTGCTAAATAGCTGAGGTTTTATATTGCAGATAAGAATTACATTTTCTTTCCCTGTCTTTTTTTTTCCTCTCTCTCTTGAATAGCTCTGGGATAAGCATTAAAGAAATGCTGAACTCTCCGAAAACAATTCTGTTAGGGAGCAGGCAGGGATGGCGGCCAGTCGGCCCTCGATGGCAGTAATGGGCTGTCCAGTTCTCTTCCCTTCACTCCAGTGAGTCCTGGCTAGGGATGAACACTTGGGAGCAGGAAGGGAGGACTCAGAGCGTCCATCCCACCTGCTGGATCTGTGTCCCCTTGGCTCTGCACAACCCCAGAGCACCCTTCTCCTCTCCTGCAGTAAAGTGATGCTGAGGGTCCTCAGAGAGGCCGAGGGGAAAAAGTCCCCAGAAAAAAAGTGAGATGGTGGAAAAACAGCAGCTCCTTGTTCTTCTTATGTAGCTGAGTAATGTAAAGGGAATTTGAGGCCTGTGTCCCACTAGAGTCACTTGTGGTAACTCCGCTGGTCCAGCATGGGAAACGGAGAGAAATGGAGTAGAGGGTGAAGACAGTGCACGGAATTCCCAGCTGGATTCCCATCTCCTCCCATACCCAGCTTTTGAACACAACCACAAGATCTGTCTGTTGGCAGGTTTTTTAGAGAAGACAAAGGGTCAGTGGGGATGCCCTCGCATTCCCAAAGCAGCTACCGAGTGTCACCGGAGCAMGGCACAGGGAATGCCCATGGACACGGCCCATAGCAAGCTGTGCACTGGCAGCCTGCACTCCCCTCAGGCAAAGCTGTTTAAGTGCAGAAACTTCCTTGTTTTTTCACAAACTATTAATCCATCGTGGTGGCCGAGTTGCCAGGGCTCGGCCAGCGCCTGGTGTGGAAATGCCGGCATTTGAGCCCGTTTCCAGGTTTCCTCTGCCAGGCCTGCCGCGCTCGCGCCGCTCCCTGCAAGGCTCTCACACCACCTCAGATCTGCTTTGCAAGCCAATGCCCAAATGCACATGCTAATGTCTTGGCTAATGCGGCTTTTGAAAGACTCCCTCGTTACCCAAAAGGAATAGGAATGGGTCCAGATGGGATTAGGTGACCCGGTGCTCCCCAAACCAGGCTGCTTTAACAAAGTGCAGGCAAGTGAGCAGGCGATTAACGTGCCAGGGGCTYGCAGGCGGCGCTGCCAGCGTGGTGCCCTGTTGGCACCGCTCCCGTGGCACAAAGGCCAYGGTCATTTGTCCATCCCCGCCGCTYGGCACCACAGCAGCTCACTCTCCTCTCCCTTTTCGTCATGACCCTCATAGGAATTCAAGATTTAGATCAAATGCTTGCAGAAAACTTGGCGTTTCCACGCTTTCTGTCGCTTTGCCTTTGATTGCATGTTTTACTCCTGGTAAACATCAGCTCAATCAAAGTTGATGATGGATCTTACAGCCTTGTTTGTAGTGGCGGCTTGTCAGACTGTTCACAGCCCTCACTGATCTCTCCTTTAGAAATTAGAACGTGCAATAGGATAAAATCTTATTCCTCTTAATAGAAGCTAGTGAAGTTTCTTCCCCAAACCCGCTGTGGTCTGTAAACTGTGCTAGAAATTACACAACACACGGTTTATTCCACATTTGTTCAGCTGGAATCCACACAGTGACACACACAGGAATTTATTGCATGGGAGATTATTATTTGCAGTATCATAAACTGGCAAGTTTTGCCATTTTAAAGGGGCCGCTCGGCCCCGCCGCGGCGTTTGCCGCGGCTGATGTCGCGTGCTCTCGCCGCAGCCATGGTCCTGCTCTTTGTGGTGTGGATGAAGAGGCGGGAGAAGGAGCGCCACACCAAGCAGCTCCTCATCGACCCCGAGGACGACGTCCGCGACAACATCCTCAAGTACGACGAGGAGGGCGGCGGAGAGGAGGACCAGGTGAGAGCGGCCGGCGCCGGCCGAGCGCTTGGCTCCGGTGCCGGGTTTGCTGTTGGGCATAGAATGGGCATTGGGACAGGGAGGAGGGCTTCCCTGACCCGAGCAGCTCCCCATGGAGGGTTTGGAATCAGGATGGCCCCACTCCAGTTCCAGCMATCTTTCTGCCATTAAACATGCCCATTTTCTGTCCCTCCCTGCAGAGCTCCTGGTAAAACCAACCCAGACCCGTGGCCACGGGTGCTTGCTTTGGTTTGTTTGAGCCCAGGATTTCCCTGGGTTTACCTGCCTTTAATTTCTTTTAATTGCTGTCCCTCATTTGTGAGAAACATCCAAATGCATTTGAGCATTTTTATTTTTCACCACGAAGGTGCAATACCTCAAAGCTTTGCGCCCCAGCACAAGCTGAGGCCAAAGGCTCCCCATGCCCACCCCATGCAGTGCCAGGAGGTCCGAGCATTGCGAACGCGGACACTTGGAGCGAGGAAAGTGCAGGGCAAATAGATCCAGAGTCTGATGTCATGATGTCCAGGGATGATCCATGGATGTCCAGGGAGCCGTGCACACTCAGGAGGGTCGTCTGCAATGGAAAAAGCTTTTCATTTTGCTTCTCTTTTTCTCCTTTTTTGTTTTTTTTTTTCTTTTCACTGACAAGTTACTTATAAATATTGCTCCTGGAGATTCAGTCATCCCCAGCTAAGCACAAGAATAGTTTCACCAGCAGAACAAAGTGTTGCTATAAACATTCAAACTAGCTGAAGTGTCTGATTTCAGGCAACTACACTGTAGGTTTAAATATTTTAGGAAGAATCTGTTAAAAATAACAGCAAAAGAAGAGCAGCAAAACACCATTACCTACTTGAATACATTTTAGAAGAAATATTATCTGGCTGTCGGTCCTTGATAGAAACCTATTCTTTAGGGATTTTTGCAGTGCAGGAAAAACATAATTACTTGAAAATAAAGTCTGAGTGTATAAATGCAATGCACATTCTAATGTTTTTACTTCTGYACAAATTTAATTACTAGAATATGTCTGCAGACATTGCGTCTTTACATTATATTTTGTATTTGATCAAAGATGTTATGCACATATMCATGCACTCACAAACCAAAGCCAGTACACGATCCTAAAGATTTGGACACCATGTTAAATATTGAAAGAGCATTGAGCTGTTTGATTTAACTTACCTCTTAAGATACACCCTGGGGAGGTCAATTTTACAAGTTACCCAGAGATCAGTTTGGTCTATAATTAAGATAGTTAGAAGTGCTACATATGTAGGGATAAGATTTGGTATTGAACTTCAGCTGAAAAAGGGATTAGACCCCTCAAGTTCTTTGTCTGTTGATGTKGTGTGGACAATCTGCATGGAAGCTCTTGGCTTCACCCTGTGTTTTTCCATTTGTAACAGGATTACGATTTAAGCCAACTTCAGCAGCCAGAGACCATGGATCACGTGCTGAACAAGGCGCCCGGTGTCAGAAGGGTGGATGAGAGACCTATTGGTGCTGAACCACAGTATCCTATAAGACCAGTAATCCCCCATCCTGGGGATATTGGTGACTTTATTAACGAGGTAGGTTCCTGAGGGCATCGTGTGCTCCATCCTTAAAGCTGTGGCAGTAGCTGCGCATCAGCTATGCAGCATTTTCAGTGCACATTATGGACCGGGCGATGCTCCTGCCCATGCCAGAGGGAAGCCAGGTTGGCCTCCCAAAGGCACCAGCGCTGTGAAAAGGCRAAGTGCCAATACACAACCCATAATTTCTGATTTGTGGGTACCTCAAGCACCAGCCTTGCCAGCCTAAGGCCAAAGGTGCCATTTGTGGCTCCTGGGCTTGTAATTATTTCACCAGCCTCTGTCTTCTTAGGGAGCTCTATTTSGTCTAAAACCTCAAAGAGTTTGCAGAATAGGGAGATTCTTCTTAGATCACACAGGGCCTCTTTATTTTATGTTAGATTACTGTTGTTTTTTTGAGGAGAAAGAGGGGGTTAAAAGTATATATCCATTTAGTATTTCCCATCTCTTTTGTTTGTTTGTTTTAGAATGAATRATTGTGCGGTTGGTTACAAACCAATCAATGTGTTATTTCCTCGGAGATAAAATACACTCTCCATTCCCTAAGTCAGAAAAATAAATGTTATAGCAATTTAATTCTATTATTACATCAATTTCCTGCTGTGCTTTTTCTCATTTCCATCATTAAAGTCCCTCTTTTTGTCATCGTCCTCCCTTGGCGCGCACACAACCACCCGGCATCTCCACCCRGCCACGCACGTGGATGTTCCCCCTTGCACGTGCTCCAGCTGCTGCTCCCTGCCATAAAACACTCCGGCTCCCTGCGCACGAACGTAGCTCCGGAAAGCAGGAATGCACCACGTTGTTCCTCAGTGCCAGCCCAGGCTTCCTCCAAAGCTGGGCTGGAGGGGAACAGTTGGATTTCGCTGCATCCCGAGGCTGTTTCCGTGGGCTGCCTGCAATGCTGCACAGCGCAGGCAGCAGCAGCAGGGCTGCTCTTTGGGGGTCCCCAGCCCAATTTTCCCTAAATTAAACAGGAGTGGTATTTTCTTTATCCCAAAGGAATAAAAATAATCAAAATAGCTCATTAATGTAATGAGAGAATAGCTGGTAGAAGAGGATGTTTAGGTGGTAGATGAGGAAGAATGGCTGGTAGATGAAGAATGGCTGGTAGATGAGGAAGACTAGCTGGTAGAAAAGGAATAATAGGTGGTAGATGAGGAAGATGAGCTGGTAGGAGATGAAGATTAGCTGGTGGAAGAGGAAGACTAGTTGGTGGGAGTGGAAGAATAGCTAGTGGAAGAGAAGAATAGCTGGTGGAAGACGAAGAACAGCTGTTGGGAGAGGAAGAATAGCTGATGGGAGAGGAAGAATAGCTAGTGGAAGAGAAGAATAGCTGGTGGAAGAGGAAGAACAGCTGGTGGGAGAGGAACGGGTGCTGCTCCTTCTTGCATTGGTCAAGCAGGAAAGTGCAGCCGGCCACCCGAAAAGGAGCAGGTCAACAAGGAATGTCTCCCCGGGAATAACCTGGGAATGGCCGGGAATAAGCTCCACGCAGCAGCCATGGGAGAGCGCAGGGGGCGGCCGGGCTGGGCGCTCATGGCTGCGTTTGCCCCCGCAGGGCCTGCGGGCAGCCGACAACGACCCCACGGCGCCGCCGTACGACTCCCTGCTCGTGTTCGACTACGAGGGCAGCGGCTCCACCGCCGGCTCCGTCAGCTCCCTCAACTCCTCCAGCTCCGGCGACCAGGACTACGACTACCTGAACGACTGGGGGCCCCGCTTCAAGAAGCTGGCGGACATGTACGGCGGCGGCGAGGAGGACTAGGCTGACCTCGCGTTATTTAAGAGAAAAAAAAAAAATAAACCCAAACAAAAAAGGAAGAAAAAAAAAATAAACGATTTAAAAGAAAAAATAAAAAACACAAACCCACAGATGACAACATTAACAAAAAGAGCCGATGCAGAAGCAGGAACTGTACAGATGTGGCAGCTTTTTTAATTGATATCCCCTGCTGACTGTGTTGTTATTTTTAGTGGTGATTTAGGAGGTTTCTTTTCCCTTTTTTTTTTTTCTTTTTTTTCTTTTTTTTTTTAAGACTATCGAGCTGTCTCGCATGAACAGTCGTCTCCGCTGCGTTTTGGGTTTTTCTTTTTTTCTGTTTGTTTGTTTTCCCCCACTTTCTTTTCAATGTCAGCTGGGATATTTGCTCGTTTATCTGCTTTACGACTAAAGAGAGTGAAAGGCACTCTGTCTTAACTTGAATTTCTTAGAACAGAAGCACTGTTTTTAAAATATATATATATATATATTTGAAAGTGCCTTTTGGTGCATGTATCAGATTCCCTTCGATCTCAGGAGTGATGAAAACAAGCATACAACCATCGCGGGCAGCACTCCCTTGACCCTAAGCCAGTCCTAGTTGGGAAGGCGATAACAAAAAGGAACTGTGGAGATTGGTTCAGTTTTTGCCTTTTGTTTCCCTTTTTTTTAATTTTTTTTTTTTTTAGGGGGTGACTCGTTTCGGGGTGCAGAGGATGGGGGGGGTGGTCTCRAGTCAATATCTTAACAGCCATCTCAAAGCCTAAGCAGGTGGTGAACGTAGTCGTCACGTTGTACATAATTCCRTGTTACCAGGTGCAAAACAAGGGACAGGATGGGATGGGGGGGGTCCTGTCCTGGCCGCGCTCCGTGCCGGACCGTGCGCGGAGCCACCCCGGGCGTCCCGGCCCCGCGCTGTCCCCGAGCCTCCCGCGCCGTCCCCAGCCCAGCGAGCCGCTCCATGGCCAGGAGCTCCAGGTCCCTGCGGAAACCCAGGGGCTTCTCCACGTATCCGTGACATCCCGCGGGACCCTGCGGAGAGGAAGGGCAGCAAGAGCCCATCGGGATCCGGGCCAGGCCGAGGCTCCGCGGCGGCCAGGCCCGACTCCACATCACTATCACAGACGGTAGCATACTACCTAGTTTATACGTAGGGTCAGTTTAACCAGTAACAGGTAGTTATTAGCTTTTTTTATTACCTTTTTTCCTTTACTGATTTGGACTAGTGGGTTTATGTCTAATGTTTGTAAAATGATTTAGACTGCATGGATGTGTAATATAAACCACATTTAATGGATTATGAGCCACTTAATTAATGTGCTATGAAATCTTGGATTACCTGTGTTTTATATTCTGCAGACGATTTTGCAGTGGGTTCGCTAAAAAAGAAAAAAAAAACATGTAAAAGTGCTTAGATATATTTTCCTTTAAATCCAAGAATGTTCACAGTATTGGAAGGCRATTATCCAGGGGATAATCGGCGCTTTTTTGATATCTTGATTAATTCTCCGGTGGAATGCTAAGAGTTGCAGGGGGCGGGCGGGCGAGCGCATGCACGAGAGCGCGAGTGAGCCGAGCGAGCTTGGGGGGACGCGTGGACGTTGTCTCGGAGGGTCGACTAGGCTGCAGGATCGTCTCTATATAGATTTTTGAAATGCTCCTAGTGCATTTTATATTCCATTGTATCATATTTTCTATAAAATGCGGTTTCTGTAAATGAACGAGCATTTGAACCGTGTCTTGTATGAAGTGGAATGTGGTAAAAGTCTGCCCGAGGGGTCTCAAGCGTGGCTGGAATATCTTTGATCGCCGAGCACGCGGGTCGCGTCCGCGCCACGGGTGGCCCTGGCTCCATGGGCGCTCCGTGCGGGCGAGATGCACACGGCGCCCGGCCCTCGAGGGCAGCGCGAGCGGTGCCAGAGCCAGCGCGGATGGAGGTGAGTCCGGTGGCCACAGCAAGACGAGATGGTCGTGAGAAGATGGGTGGCCATGGCAAGAGGAGATGGTCATGACAAGATGAGGTGGTCATGGCAAGATGAGGTGGCTACAGCAAGACGAGATGGTCATGGCAAGACGAGGTGGCCATGACAAGATGAGATGTTCATGACGAGGTGGCCACAGCAAGATGAGGTGGCCGTGACAAGACGAGGTGGTCATGGCACGAGAAGGTGGCCACTGCTCATGGGTGCTGTGACCAGTTGCTGCTCAGATGTCTTTCCAGAAGGTCATTCCCTAGCGGTATCTCGGTCACCCTCATGCTCCCATGGGTGCTGGGTGGCTCTTGGCCCTTCTCTTCTCCTCTGTTTCTGCAAGCAGTGACCAAGGGGACTGAGCGCCACCAACACCATGACCAAGAGGTGACTAATAAAAATGCACTGAGTGTTTCTGGCTGCTGACTACACGTCCATGTTTGGTGTCTCTCATTGCAATCCTATTGACTCGGGAGAGGTCTCTCAAGCTGGGGGCTGCATGGTCAGTGATGCCCATGGTGTCCAGCTGCCACCCGCAGCTCCCACTAATGCCCCATCAAACCACCATGTTCCAGCAGGAAGCGGGTGGCCATCTCCTCTCCAGATCCTAGGGCTCTCTGTCCCTGGAGGCTGGGGCTGGGCTGGCGGGTAGGGAAGGGCTGGCAGTGGGATGCAGGAGTGGGAAGAGCCGCGGGAGCATCAGCAGGTGGCCTCACCTGGTGGTTCCGGAGGGTCCAGGCGGTGGGAGCCRCTTCTTCCAGGCAGTCAAGGAGGCACCAACAGAGTCAAACGGGTCCAAACACCTCAAGGGTCCAGAGCACTTGTGCAACCTGCGCCAAGCAAAAACCTGCTGGGAGAAACACGAGCTCTGTGACGTCTTGTGGAGCTCTTCAGTGTCTAAGTGTGAAGAAAAAAATAAAAGTTTTTTGAGGGGGAGATCATAGAATCATTGACTCCTTAAGGTTGGAAGGGRCCTGCAGAGCTCATCCAGTCCAACCCCCTGCACACGCAGGGTCACCCAGAGCACRGGGCACAGGCTGCATCCAAGCGGGTTGGGAAGAGCTCCAGAGAAGGAGACTCCTCAGCCTCCCTGGCAGCCTGTTCCAGGGCTCTGCCACCCTCACTGGCAAGAAATTTTTCCTTAAGCTCCTGCAGAACTTTTGGTGCTTCAGCTAGYGAGCAATGAATGCCTTTACATTTAAAAACAGCAACTGGACAATGTAGTTTTATCCCAAAATTAACACAGTTTCCCAAGTGAAACAAAAGTTACCCCAAGTGCTCAGCAAACCCACGCGCACTCACTCACCGTGTCCCTTGCGTGGTCAGTGCTTGAAGCTGCAAATCCCATAGGGAGAACGTCACCACCCCTGTAGCTATGTGTCACCAGGGCACTTTCCTTGTGGTTGGTTTTGCTCCCGGTTTTCCATGTCTCCTGGGGCGATGGAGCAGCTGCGCAGCGGCCCACAGGACCCSGACTGTGGAGAGAGGAGGGTGCCTCCATTAAACACGTTCCAAAAAAACAAAAACTTTCTTTTTTTTTTTTTTTGTAACCGTCAACAGCACAAATATTTTGTATTGTTGTTTGTACTGTTTTTGTACCAAAAAAAAAAAAAAAAAAAAGAAGAAGCAAGTGAATGTTTTCGGTGTGTTTCCAGTGCTGCTGCTGTCTTGGTCTCCACACTAGCAGCTTTGCCGAGTTGTGTATCAAAGCTGAGCCGGCGCCCAGCTCCCGTGTAAGAAATAAAGTCCCCCTTTTGAATAGTCTCAAGTGCTTTTTTTTTTTCTTTCTTTTCTTTCTTTCGTTCCTACTTTTCCCGCCCAGGAAGGGCCGCAGGCGCCAGGCTGCAGCGGAGGCGCCTGCTCGGGGCTTGCACAAGGTGGCTGCAATTCAGCACAGCCCATTAGGGCATCTTTCCCTGCCAAAGTCCTACCAACACTTGCTGCTGGTGTCCRTCCGTCCGTCCATCCTTCCTTCCATCCATCCTGAGCTCAGGGAGAGCAGCCCGGCTCATTTTTAATAACCACGCCGATGAATGCAAATCCTGCACGTAGCCATTTACTTCCTCCCCGGAGTCAACTAAGAATATTTTATTGCTAATTTTGCTAATTCTCAAGCTGTTCTGTTCCTTGGAATTATCTTTAACTCCTGAATAATGCGACGTGGCCGCATCACGGACGTTAGCTCGGGTTGCCCGTGGCRGTGCTGGGCTCTTGTTCCTACAGCCTTTTAGCCCCGTGCTCGAATTTGACCATGGGAGTAGCTCTTGTTGCTGGCAGGACAGCCGCCCTCTCACAAATCCCTGGAAATTTGTGCCAAAATTGAAAACGAAGTTTGTTCCTGTTGATATCAGCTGTTAGGTCTTATCCCAAGTCAAAGGCTGACCCTAGATTTTAAAAGAAAATTTAGTTTGGGGCAAACCAGACCACACTGAGGGGGCAGCTGTGTTTCAGTTAAATAAACAAAACAAAAACAAACAAAAAAAAAAGTATTTTGTTTCAGATTAAACCACTGTGGTGCTGAGTCTTTTTTTTCCCCCRTCTGTCCGTCCCATCCGTGGCTCTTTCCCACAAGGCTGGTGCATCCAAGGCAGGAGCTGCTGCTCCAGAGGCTGGTGGATCCAGCGCAGAGGCACCTGTGTCCGCTCCAAAGCTGCTCCCATCCCGCCTGGACTCRCTCCCTTTGGAGCAGCCGGCCAGGCTGGTGCTGGGCCCGGAGCAGGACGCTCCGCGKCACCAGAACACGGGATCTGCTGCTCATCAGCTCCGCAGCCGCGGGAAGCCCTTGGGAAGGGAAGTGTCCCCTGCCCTGAGCAGAGGCAGCCGCGTGGGAGGAAATTCCAGGGGACATCCGGGAGCCTTTCCATGGCCTCATCCCAGCTCCCAGCAATGTCCTGCGCTGGGTTTTGCAAAGAGAGACCAGCCCAGGCCAAGGTAAATTCCAGCCCAGGGGAATGGAAAGGTCAGGATAGGGCAGTGGGAGATGGAGAGCTGGGGAGATGGAGAATGGGAGAGGGCAGTGCCRCCCAAGCCACATTCCCACCACATG